ACGTATCTTGTTTTTGCTTTTGATGGGTGTGCTGTCAAAGCAGTAAAAGCAAAAAACAAAATACGTGTAAGGCAAAGAAATTAGCTGGGCACTATTGCACCAACGAATTATGATTAGCATTTTAGCAAATTATCGAACTTGCGCAAAGGTATGTGTTTCACCAAAATGATAAGGAAAAGTCACTCAAATGAGTATTGATAAGTAAAATATCACTCAAAATCATAGATAACCGTTGCACCAAAATTTAAAATGCTTAGCGAAAAGATTTTAGCGGATAAGTGATAAGTTATGTAAATTATCAAAATTTATTAGCATTTCGTTGCATCAAAAATTTTTATTTATCACTTGTCATTTTTCATTTTGCTAACTTTAGCATTATTTTGCTAAAAATAATTTTACCTATCATACCAGCGATAAGTTACATTTATTCAGTCTGAATGAATTAATCAATGCTTTAACACGAGATTCGATAAAATATTGACACAAACAATGCTTCGATTCGAAATACTAAATTTATTAGAGGACAGTCTGCAAATAATAAAAGGCGTGTCATAAAAGAAGAAATCAACTGCAGTTTACATATTGGTCTAGTAGAAAAGTTTTGCCTATTTCGTAGCCAAATTGAAAAAATTTTATTAACAATTGAAGCAAACTATAATAATGGCGTGGTCAAAAGCATGGGGTCCACAAATTAGCGCTATGTAGAGTAATCCATCGGATGCCAAATGCCGTGATGAACAAATTGATGGATTAAGCTATTTGTTGGCCGGAATTTACGCAAAATATTTCCACACAATTTTTCAACATTGGTCGATTTCCTTAAGTCGCAGGGTGCATTAATGGTACTATGATAAACATAGACGCCCCTAAGGTTACTGAGTACCAGTTTGTTAATTGGTACGGAAATCATTCAATTAATGCAATATGGTTTTTGTGTTTTTGTTACTGAATTATTTTGGCAAGATACAAATAAATAATCCTCAAATATGTGTATTCTTTTGCAACCGAGCTACAAAAGAACACTCGTTTAAATGTCAGTTTACATGCGAAACAACAACACAACTCGTGTAATATATACGAGTTAATTTCAACTCGTATAACGTTATACGACCTGAATCGGTGTGCTGCCAAGTTCAATTATTGCGCCATTGTGAATGATTTTGGAAGGAAATTGGAAGGCTTCCATTCAAATGTCAAAATATTTCGACGAAGATAGGAAAATAGAAAGACGAAAAATGGAGCAGCGGTAAGTAAAATTTTAAATGATTTATTTATTTCCGAAATATTGAAAAAAGTTTTGGTTTATTTTAAGGATGGAAAAAACTACAAGAAGGAGGTGGACACAGGAGGAATCTGAGGGTTTTTTGCGGTGCTACTTGGCTCGCAAAGCCGAATTTGAGCACCCAAAGAAAAAGCGTCAGGCATACGCTAATACACTTGAGGATATGATATGCTTGGGTATTACGGTATGTAATTATTTTACTGATTATTAATTCTATAAAACACTTAATTATTGTATTCTCAGGATTCTGGGAGAACACCGCTGTGTTTGGAGGGGAGGATGCGCACTTTGCTACAAGCCTATAAGGCAGCACGCGACAACAATAACCGCACAGGTTCTTCTCCGTGCTTCGACCCGTACATGGAGCTAATGGAGGAGATATTTGGGAGCAG